GTGTTATTTTGAGGGCCGATTCAACTACATATATAAGAATGGATCATAGTTTGGGGGTTTGGCACACATTAACAACTAATCTAGTTATGTAGAGGATCCCGATTCTTTGGCCATTGCTCTTGATACACAGAAAATCAAGAAAATCCATTGACAAAGAGGGTTGATAGAAATAGCTTAACAAAAATATAAAAAAATTGAAAGAATTCACCGTCAGCGATGAAATTATACAAACGGGTATGGTGGGAGGTGATATGCGAATATTACAACGGTTGTTGTTTCTCGGAATAAAAAAAGTAGAGAAGACGAGGGAGGATGGGAGGGGAGAAAATGTTAAGAAGGAAACATAGAGGTAGACTGTGAATATATGAAATAGATGAGAATATAAGAGTAAATGGACATCAAAGATTTTGACTCTCACACAAATCCCACCTCCAACTACGAGTTTTGTAAGTTCTTTAAGGCCTATGAATTTCGGCCTTCAAGATTTATATAAACCTCAATAATATGATCCACTAAAAAAATCAAGCAAACGATAAATTTTAGAACAAGTCGGTCATGCTTAGAATTTAGTTAGAAGATGGTTTTTTTCCCCTTGTACTTTCATTACTCGCTATTTGCATATGCGTACAGTTTCTTCATTCTTATGAAGCTCTTGATTTGAGTTGATTGTCCATAAAATATTGCAACATTGTTACTGGTATATAAGATTGATCGAGAAAATTGTAGAATCGAGTCAAAGAGGAATATTTAAACCAAAATATTAAGTAAAAAAAAAATGTTCTTTTATACCAAGTAAAACAAAAACAAGGAAAGAAACAAGAGTAATAGCTTTGATGTCTTGCTTTCAAAAGTACTGTTTCAGAATTCCCAACACATTATAGCGGTTGTGGGACACATCATTTCTCCTCCATGCCTACCACTACTACCCATTTGATGACGAGTCTTATCAGATCTTCCAACTAAAATCTTACACCAAAATGACCAAATTTATAAGCACACTTTGACGCATATATATCCACCTGATACTCCCCCTTGCCTCCTTGCTGTTGCTAAGGCCAAATTCTCCAGTGAGAAACCGATCACTTTTCACCCTGTCGACGATTCCTGTGCTTAATTATATTATTATACCATTTAGGGCGGCCATTTGTACATTCCTGCTTCCATTCAGATCCATCGAGTTTAAAGTGGCCAGACATACTCATGTTTTTGTGCTTCCCCCCATTTGTCTAGTGGAGTTACATTGATTGATCACCTACCATTTACAATACGAAACATACTTATATGTCATTACATATTCTTCGACCCAACAACAGCGAATTCAGGATTTATAGCGAGAACGAGTTAGAAATGAGACATTGATCATACTAGCTTTCCAAAAGATCGAGCTCACGATGCTTCGAGGGGAATACTGAGAGAATGAGGGGTATAGTTTTCCATATTGGAAGAGAAAATGAGTTGCCCGCCGTAAGAGTTAGCAAGGATCGCAAGAGAACATTTATAAGCTTAGAAATTAGTTTGAGCTGTTAGGCCTCAAGAGGCTTCGCTTGACAAGTTTGAGCCAGGAGCAGATCATCCATGCACAACTATTTCCCACGCTAAAATATAACATACTATTTCGCATTCGTTTTAATTCGAAGGTTAAATTTTTCATGTACAGAAAATCAAATTGATTATGCTCTACAAAATAACATCCAATTTGATAAATTTTGGAGAGAAAAATAAAACTGTAGTCGAGGTTATTATTTATCAAAGTATACCATAATGATATAACTTAGTACGTACTACAGAAGATTATACCACAGTTATACACAAATTTAACATGATGATAGAAATAACTACAATGTAGATTAATGATATAAACGGCGGTAGGAAATTATTAACTCACCATTTACATATGGTAAAAGGTGATATAAATTGATCTCAAAATTCTCCGAAATATATCTAGAATTAATACAATTTTTTTAGATCGTAAAATCATGTTCCTTATGGGATTATTTTAAAAATTGGAGTGAAAATGAAGGTCTAAAGGGTGGTAGATCATGGCCGAGAGTGGTCCCAAAAAAGTACCCAAAATATAAAAAAATTAAAAAAATTTTATAGATAACAATGAACTCTGTTTTGTGACCTTTGATTTGGTGCCTCAAGTTTTGTTTACCTTTCTCGTTAAGTTCAATAAATTTATTTCACCATTAAAAAAAAGAACATCTGTTCTAGGACGCATGGAAATCACACTCTATAGTTGAAGGTGGCGTCATTGAAGATGGGACATGAGAGGAAGAAGAGGGCATTCATGTTGTCGTTGGACTTTCTTGCTCTTTGTTCATCACCAAGCTAGGAGGCTAATTATTTCGTTTCTTCTCTCTTGTAGCATGAGATGGGCAATTGGACAAGTTGTGAAATGGCATTTGTTTCCTCTGTCCCCATAAATACTTTTGGAAATTGTTTTTTCTTTATAGGAATAAAATTGTTTTTAGGTAAAAATCGTTCGAGATAGGACCAGAAATCGGATAAAGACCGGATATAAGAGCACACATCCAAAACCTAATTAATTTCTCATCTTTTTAGACCTCAGCCCACTCAAATCCCCATAAGTTCAATCTAAAATCAAGACCAGATTGGAACCGAACCAGGTCAAAAGCAGGCTGTATCCAATCCAATTTTCGGTCCTCATATTATAAAAAAAAAACGGACCGGGAACGGTTCAATTCAGACCAATTTAACCGGACCTTCTTTCACTCTGACCCGTCCTAAATTATATAGGCATACTGTGTCTTAATTATATTTAATATAAGTTAAATCATTTATGATTTATTTTTGTTATGTCATATTGTAGTTGTTATCACGTGATAATTTCCATTTTCAGAAATCATGTCATATCTTCTATTTTACAGAGAAGGTGTTTGTTTCTCGATTTTGTATGATTTTTTTCTTCTATTTATAGTGATTTTCATTTGAAATGCATGTTGCCTGTCCCAACTCGTACGCAAAATACTTGACTTGGATAACATTCTCCCTAATTAAGTCTTCACTAGCACTTGTTTGTTGTGCAAACATTCAAATGGAGCTTCAAGAGCGTGGATAGGAATTGAAAGGGATGACGAATGATTTGAGATGATTGGGGGGTGATTAGACCTCCATTTTGCCGCTGGTGGCGTTGGTGCTACTTAGTGGTGGGTGGGGATGGTGGATGCTGTGCTTTGCCCACTTGAAACCTAATTTGTGAGAGAGAGAGAGATAGACGGAGAGAAATCTATTGAGAGAGAGAGGGTGGCCATTGCATGTTCTCTCTTTTCATGTAACAAAATCGAGATTGTCACTCTTCCTTCCCCTTTTGCGTTTATTTACAGAAGAGAAAAGAAGAAGGTGTTTTAATTAGTTATGTTGTGATCATCTCAATAACTCGAGTTGTTTGAGAAAAATTTATATTAGATTTTATATCAATCTCTAACATGCCCTTTCAAGCGAAAGCCAATTCACGGGCTTGAAGTTTGGACATGCCCACCATACCTTTTGTTTTTAATCAACTGTTAATACTGGGATCGTGGAGATTTTTACACACGACTATTTGACCAAACCAGCTATGATATCATGTCATAAATCATTTGGTCTTAATAACTCGAATTGTTGAGAGAAGGTTATATTGAATTTTATACCACTCTTCTCTTTTTCACCCGTGTCGAGCATTTCCATTTGTTGGCCCAAACCCTACACACATACGTTTGCGAAGAGGTTAATGAAGCGTGCGGTCATCATTCACATCTCTTTCAATGGATAATACATTGTTATATTTTGCCAGTAGCTAGGACGTGGGGAAAAATCTTCGACTCACTAATCATCATGAAGATGGCTATTCCCCATTACAAGACGAAAATACTAATAACGTACGTCATTGTTTTGATAACGAGACAAGTAGGGGGAAAATGGATGACGATTGCAGTCTATAATTGCAGATACTACCAATGATCATGTAGAAAGATCTAACTGTTTCTTTTTTTGGGTAGAAGTATCTAACTGTTTCTTGTGGTCAGCAAGATGGCTTAATAATGCTCGAGAAACTTCTCTTGGCCTTGGCATGCATGAAACGTTTGCCTTAGTATAGAAGGTATTATAGGGTTTTGGTTGTGATAAAATGTGAAAATGACATGGATTTAATGTGGTTTGATCTTGATTAACTTTACATCTACAGGAAACGGTAAATTATGGCTATATGAGCGACAACATCACAAAATATGAAAGTAACACGACGGGTAAAGTGAAAACACGATATCACATTTTTTTAGCAGGGTAACCAACTAACCATGCATGCAAGGAGTGTATGAGAATCAACTCCAATATTATCTTCCTTACTAGGTCAATGACATCCCAAACTATGTGCCTACTTATAGAACATTTTCAATCATTTAGCAAGCATTGAGGCATTCAAAACCCCAACGAATTAATTCAATGCCCACCCATGAGAGAAGAGAAGGATTTTAGTGGAAGAGCGGCCAGAATCCCCCAAGCGGCTGAGTTGCCTTGCCTATTTTGGATAGATATATGAGTATTATCCTATGATCAACAATAACAACATTTTCACGATAGATTTGAAAATATACAAACCAGAGTTGACACACGACTCTCTAGAAATACACTCCTAATATAGGTCAAGTGTAACAATTGAAAAGGACTGCAATATAGTGGTACAAGTAATAAAATGGTCAAATACACTTGTGTAGCCAAAACTTTGACGGTTTTGCCAAATATAGCCACTTTTGGCGAAATACCAAAAATAGCCACTTCCGTCCAATTGTTTGACGGTGTTAGTTAACGTGCTGACTGGACTAACAGCAGCAATTGACATGGCATATTTTATTCGAAAATAATATTAGGTGGAAAATAAGCAAAATTTATATTTATATTTATATTTTAATCAAATTAAATAAAAAATCATAAAAAAATAAAACCAAAAATATCTTCAGCATCGCCTTATCGCCTCCCCTTCATCAATAATTCCCTTAGCCCTGAACTCCAGAAACTTCCTCTTCTTCTGCAACCCTCAAAATCTTCCCTAACCAAAATAAGAATCAATCCCTAAACCCATTAATCCCCACCCAGGTTCCGTCATCATACCACCACCACCATTTTAAACCTACCCAACTTCCGTCGTCGACACCACCACCATTTTGAAAGCTCTATTTGTGCTTCTCGCTCTCTCAACAACATCGCCGTCGAGCCAACTATGTCGCGGAGTCTTCCCTCCGACTGTACAGCCCCCAACCCAATTTACTCCGGGTTTGATTCGCGGAGATGCTGTTCTTCGAGAGGCTTTCCACGACGGTTGGTGGTGGCTACCCTCTCGCCGGCAAAGCTGAAGTCGTCGACCCCAATGGCGGTGCCGACAGTAGAGAGCCTCGCTCTGGCGCTCGATTCTCCTCCAATGTCTTACGGAGCTCGATTTTCTTTCGATTCTCCGTTGCTGCCGGTTCTGGGTCACTGCCGGTTCAGGGTCTCGCTGTCACCGTCAAAATCTCTCTGCCAACGGCGCCTACTATAGCCTTGAGACCGGATCTGGCGGGCGGGCCACTAGTTGGATCTGTATTCATACCAAATCTCGCCGTCGGGTCGCTAATTAGATCTGTATCCAGACCAAATCTCGTTGCATCCTCCTCCTTTGAAGCTAAAAACAGAAATCGAGCTAGGGAGAAGGAATGGATTGTCCTTCTGAAATAGCACACTCGATGCGGCGCAGCCAGATCTAGTCTTCAATGTCCGAAGCATTGGAAGAGGAAGACGAGAGTTCTGGGTTCTTTTCTCTATTTCCATATCTGTCATTGCGATTGTTTCTAGTTTTTTAGTTGGATTTTTAGGCGGAGGGATTTTTCGGTGGCGGTTGGTGATGGACGAGGGGGAGAGGAAGACAATATAGTTAATCAATCTTTGCGGCGGTGGCGGATGAGGAAGCTGAAGCATCTCGATGACCAGCACGTATGCTTGTTTTTAGTTTTTGTTTTATTTGTTTTTTTTACTTTGATTTCATTATTCACAGATTGAGAACGGAGGTGGAAAATCGGACCAGGCAGAAGAGATCACGGGAGATACTGGATTTTATTCTCGAAAAATTGGGGGTAGGGAGTGGATTGGAGAAGATGAAGAAGGGGAGTAGGAGAGATCGGAGAAGATGAAGCATTTCCTTTTTTGTGTTTATTTATATAATTATTAATAATAAAAAGATAAAACATTTCCACATTGAATATTTTGATGACTTTTTATTTTATTTTTGTAATGACGTGTCATCCATCTGACAGTGAATGCTGAGGTGGAAACGAAAGAGAGGGTGAGTTGGCATCCAAGTAAGCATTCCGTTAAATTGACTAACGGTGTCATTTACGCCGTTAAATTATGTAACGGAAATGGCTATTAGTGTCATCAAACTTTCAAAATTCTGGCTATTATTGGTATTTCCCCAAAAGTGGCTATATTTGGCAAAATCCTCAAAGTTTTGGCTACACAAGTGAATTTGGCCTAATAAAATACTGAATCTATGGATCTCTAGATTTACTAATACTCAGCTTTATTTTATTATTTAGGAAAACAAATCGAAGCAAAACAACTAAAAATACTCTACAAATTATACTGAAGCTAGACTACTAATTGCAGGGTAGGAGCTCACTCAGGTATTGATTCCCCCTAGCCACTAGCCAGATTAATGACTGATGATTCTCTAACTTAGCTTGTTTTACTTCTCACTCATAACACGAAGCCCCTTGACTATACTTTAAATCTGGATTAAAACAATCAAGGCTCTCTTGAGTCAGGTTTTTAGAGAGAAGTATCCTTCTCTAACTAAATCTAACTAGGCGTTGTACAGTAGAATCCCTCTAATGGGTGAAGTTCTCACGAACTATAAAGCAAAGAATTGACTCACTCTCGTGTTATCAATCCCCTACTTCAATTCTATGGTGTTATATTGACCCAATAAGGTATTCCCTCTCATAGAATCAAAGCATAATCAATAATCTCGACTAAAACAAAATTGAATCATGAATTCAAGTATAGATTGAATATGGTCTCAAGTATACAAAGAAAGAGTACTAATACAATAATCCAATGAAACATGGCTAAAGTTCCTCAAAATCTAAGTTAAGAGAGACTACTCTATAGAGAAGAGAGAGAATAGAGAAACTATCTTTAGATACTCAATTGTCACATCCAAGCTTTTTCTTCGAGCTCCAATGAGAAAGAAATCCTCCTGATTCGCTTTAAGGTTGGCCCCGGATCGCTCTCCTTTTCTTTGGAATGTCCTTTAGGTGTATGGGACTCAAAATCCAACTTCCTTTCTCTAGAATCCCAAAAATCTTCTTATACAAGCGGCATAGGCCATGTCACGGCCGTGACATTTAACTTCAGGTCATGACATAAAAAAACTTGTTGTTTCATTCAGTGGCGGAATGTCACAGCCTATGTCACTCTCCCAGGCCATGCCATTAAAGTTCATGGCATGACATGGGGAAAGATTCTTCCTTTTTCCTCCAAGTGTTAACACCTGAAATATGACAAAAAAACACAACTTATCGTAAAATAGACCAATGATAGGACGTTTCAAAGATAAATAATAAAGAAACATTCAAGGAATGAAGCAAAAAACCTTCCTAATTAAGCACGTATCAACACATGACTCTCGTTGATAGGTATTATTCACTAACATCGTACAAAGATTAAGTCGTTATTCCTATTAATTACTATAGGAAATGATGATGTATGGCATATTTTAAGTGGTTCATGATTTCTTGTTTTCATTTTTTCTCTCAGTTTCACCATTCAAATATCATTCACTTTAGTCCTTTGCGCTATTGAGATTGAATCCTAAAGTCAATAGGATTTCCAGACTTCATTGCCACTTTAATTACCCCTCAATGTGTTAAATCTTCTTCATTTTCCTTCAATAGCCCTGAAAAAATGGCCAGTGTATATCTACCACTCCCATATCCCTAAGCATATTTTCCAAATGAAATATGTTAACACCTCTACGAAGATATTTGCTAACTGATCAACAGTGTCCAAGCAGAAAAGTTTGATCATACCAGCTTTAATGTTTTCTCTCGTGACATGGATGTTAATTTTGACATGCGTTGTCATCTAATGAAATGATGGATTCTCTGAAATGTGAATAAAATATTTTTTGTCACATAAATGGTCATGGTCATGGGGATTGGGACACTTAACTCTTATAACAAAATCTTCAACCATTGATCTTCACATATTACATGAGCTTCTGCCATGTACTATGTTTCATATTATGATCTTGCTACTGTAATATGCTTCTTGCAAGTTCCTATTAGTAAAGATCTTTCTAAATAGGTATACAATCAAGTGATGAATCTTTTGGTGTTAGGATACGTGGCCAATATGAGTCATAATACCTTATTATAACCATCTCTAATTTGACACTAAAGTGTATCCCGTGACTAGATGACATTTTTTATTTTTCTAATGAGTGTTGACAGATTTCTTTTAAAACTTACTTAGATGTTGGCCAGCAAAATCAGTGTAAGCTCTTGTAATTGTGATGTAGTGTAAACTTCCAAACAACATTTGTAGCAATGTGGGTCTTCTAAACTTACTTAGATGCTTTAGCTGAATAGGGTCTTCATATATATGAGAGTAATGGTTAATTTAACATCACTATATCATTATCAGTCAAATAATCTCCATAATACTTCTTGTGGTTCACAACAATGCCTCCTCCATTTAAGTATATTTCAACTCTCGGGAAGTACTTCAGTGCCTAGATCATTGACTGTAAAGTCCTTCTTCGAGTACATGATAACCCTTTCCATATTATATATCATGTCATCCGCCTCTTTGTGAAGATTGAATAGTCATATGGAGATTCTGAGTTTTTTTAGCAGAACAATTTAACTTAGGATACCATTGACTGCCATATTATATCAAACCATACATAGACTTTCTCAGCTTGCAAACCAAGCTTTCACTTCTATCCAATCCTGGATGAGCCTCCATGAACATTTCCTCTTTTGTCCATTTGATGCACATTTCATCCTTTGAAATATGCAATTTTAAGTAAAACTTTGATTGTGTTGATTTTGACCAAAAGAGAGATTTATCAAAAAATTCAATGTCATACATTTGTGTAAATCCCTTAGCCAATTATTTGAATTTATGGTTTTGATTATCGACATAAGGTTTGGTTGTCGATTTTGTAAACCCATTTTTAACCTATTGCTCTTTTTCTATCTAGTAAGGTAACCAAGTCTCAACTCTTGTTTTCAACTAAGGGTACTAACTAATATTCTAGGGCATTTTTCAAACAATGTTTCCTTACTGCTTCTTGATAAGGTTGAGGTTCGTCTAGGATAATCATTAATCAACCACAATGCATACTTCTTGTGTCGAGCAATCAAGCTGTGATGAGAAATATAGTTGGAAAATGAGTACTCTGCCAATTTTTATATAAGTCAGAAATATATTCTAATGCCAAAAATTCCTTTTGATGATTTTCGGGAGGTAGATCTCCATCCTCTACTTCATGCTCTGGAAATGATTCAAGTTCTTTAAGTTCCTAGTCTACTAATGGAAATGACTTTGAAGATGGAAGACTGTGACCATAAAATGGTGAGCCTGGATGCCAATAATTACACAATTCATATTAGCAACCATGTTGTCATCTAATGAGCTTTCAGTATGATCATTGCCCCTTGTGGCCTGTGGGCATGAGGTTGCGTGGGAAAAGAAGTTGAGGTAGTTGCTAATAGAGCGTGAAAGGAAACTAATGAATATGAAACTATAGCACTAGTGGATCAGGTAGTGTTGGATTGACTTCTCCTTCTTCTTCATTAGCACCCTTCAAAAAAAAATTCATGGAAAGTTACAACTTTGGATATAAAGCGATCATGGTTGTTCAAATCTAACAGCTTATAACCCTTTATACTCACTGGAATCCCAATAAAATGCATATTTTTGCTCTATTTTGGAACTTGGTTATGCCATGAGCTACGATAAAGGCACATGCCAACCACTAATAAATTTCTGATGTCCTCGAAATGATGGAGTTTGGTAAAGGACTTCATAAGGAATCATGTCTTGTAGGTGTTGGTATTATGTTAATGAGGTGAACTATATGAAGAATGCAACCAAAGTAAAACTTAGTGAAACTCCATTTTGGAATCTCGGAGATATTGCCACATTTAGTACATGCTTATGCTTTCTTTCCTTTCTTCCATATGGAGAATGCAGTCAATGTAAGGGCTAGATAGGACATTTGATGCTCGATTCCATGCTCATGATAGAAATCATTCATGTGGAAAAAGAACAAACTACCACTAGTCTTTATTTGTACTTCATCAAATAAATCCACACTTGTCTAGAGAAATCATCAATACTATCAAGAGGGCTACAAATCATGCAATGTAATAATCTAATGCACTTGTATCCAGTATCCAAAAATAAATTAGAGCCTCTGCATGAAAATATAGACAGAAGGAGAGAATGGAATTATTAGAGTATTTTGGGAACCGAGGACGTTGTTGTGAGACTGAAAATGCTTGATGGTGGATTCAAGGTGAATGAGGTAGTGAGGGTCATCTGGCTCTACCTTGTTGGAGAAGGCTTATAAGTTGATTTGTCTTATCAATTTTAAGTTTTAGACTTACTATGATGTGGCTACTTACAAATTTTGACTTCCTCCTCCATCATGAGGTTGGAACTATGCATTAGTTCCCTCATCCATCACCTTCTCAATTGCAGCTCCACCAAACTTACTTGCACAACCAATTGCTCCTTAGTATGCCTTCTTTTCCCTCAAATTCTATCATTATGAAATATTTTGATTTGTCTTCTTCCAATAATATCAAGACAAGCCCCCATAATGATTTGGTTTCTTTAATCTCTTGTTCTCATGCTTCACTTGATTACCCTACCCCCCAAAAGTTACCTATATAACTTATTTGCCTTATTTGGTCCCCTTATCATATTTGAGTTTTTGCCCATGTTTTAACTTGCCATCACAGGCAATTAGGTATGGCTATAATTGGTTGTGGTTTCATCATCAACAAATGTGCCTAAACCACATTGAATACAAGATTGACACCTCTCATAAATAAATCTAGTAGTCAGTCTCTTGCTTAGTCTTGAAAGCATTCATTGTTGGATATGGAATCTACTTCCATGAACATAGTTACAAGCAACTATGAGTGTGAATTTAGCACACTAACCCTGAGAGACCCTTCATCAATGTACAACAATGAGTTATGCAAATATATATTGCCTTGTTTGCAAGCATGAATATCATCCTTCAATGTTGTCAATTTCACTATATTTGCTTGGCCTTCAATACCAACAATAGCATATCATCATTCAGAATCAAACTCAACATGAACTTAATGAAAAACGATTATTCTCAGGAAAACAATCATCGGTCATGTGCTCGTGGTACTCAGAATCATGCCAACCATTCGCCAATTAAGTCAGATGTACTACATGCCATTTTGGCAGTGGGATCACCAATTCATCAAAGATGGAACTATGATAAATACATTGAAAAGAAACATATTGAATGTGTGATTGAATCACTCTCCTTGAGGGTTATTTGCCCGCACTACAAATGACTAGTAAGCATCAAGCATATCATTCCCAGGAATCACTCCGATCAAAGTCTGGAAGCATCAATCTTTCAGACTTATATCTTTGACATTTTTTAGAAGAAAGACTCAGAAGAAGAACATTCATACGCAAATTGGTTGCAACAGTCTTTAATTGTTAAAATGAGCCCAGTAAACAATTAATCAATGAAGTAAAGTGGGATGAAGTATGATAAACCACTTGCACTTTTCTTCTTTTCTAATGCGGTATTTTTCACTAGGTGAAAAACTCTAACATAAACTTTCCCACATCGGGAGTGCATTGGTGCTCCTCCTCCGCACTAAGGTTGCAAATGAGCCCAGTCGAGCCGAATTCCGACCTAGCTTGACCTCGACTCTTTAATAAACAAGTCGAGCTCCACCTCGGCTTGTTTACGAAGACCTTGGCTTATGTTTGCCTCGACCTCAACTCGAGCTTGGCTCATTGAGGAGCTCACGAGCACTACTCGAGTTCTGCTTATCAATTAGTTAGCAAGATGTGCTCGAGCTCAAGTATCATATAGATTACTTCATTCTTTTTAATTATTCATGTTATTGAATAGTAATTAGTATATGAGAAATTTGTGATACACAATATCTCTTTTAAATTATAAATGAGACACATTTTATCACATTTGATCTTAAACATCATGTGTGGTGAGATATATAATCTAAAAAACTAATGAATTCTCAACCAGCAAATTATAAGCTATTAATTGATTCGCTCAAAAGTTGGTAGTTGAGGTAGCTCGCTAGCCTTACTGTCGAGCAAGCTCATAGCTCAAAACTAGCTCATGAGTTGAGCTCAACAACCCACCGATTAGAGATTGCTTATGACCCTTGCGAACCATACAAAGCTTAGCTCAAACTCGACCTGTTAATAAATGAGCCGAATATCGAACGAGTTTTTTCCCAAATCGAACGCCAATCTGCTCACGAACAGCTTGACTCATTTGCATCACTACTCCGCAACATAGAAACTTAACTTAGAAAGTAGAAGAAAACAAAACAAGCTAGGAAAGCTACATTTGAGCTGAGACATTCATAACCATAGGACACACATATATGTTACTGACTGACCGATCGATTTCTTACACCCCAAAGATGGGAGGCCAGGGAATAAAGGCACCTCCAAGAATGTAGGCTAAAGGAAAGTAAAGAGACCCGACAAGGAATCTACGTAGGATATTAATTTAATTTACACATAGGCTGGTTTTTGTTCCATCAATCCCTTCATCATTGCGTTTTCACGCCTTTTGCTTATACACTCTCTACAGACAGCTTTCCGTAATCGTCGATTGCTTTGCTAGCTTATCTCCTTGCTGATGCATGCCACTCACTAATCTCTTGGTGCCTTTCTTCCGAATTTAACAGAGAAAAGAAGGCTATATAAAAGTTATGTAAAAAGTAAAAAACCATTAACATTCTCGTCTTCTCGAAGTTACTGATCGATAAGAAAGTTGTTGCCAAACAGAGTTAGATAGAGGAGAATATATGCAGATTAATTAGTGCATGCATGCGTTATATCACATAATATCATATTCTGATCACATTCATTAATATTCCATGGCTAACTAACAGGTTCGTATATAGTAATTATAATTGATTGTGGAGGGACACCAACTAAAGTGTTTTCTCACTACTGTACTGTGTGCTTTGAAATTGTTAAATCAATTTTTGTTGTTGGACAACAAACAAAACAAGAGATTCTTGAGGGGAATATATGGCTGGGATTGATGAGAAAAGCAACTTAGTCAGTTAGGGGGACCTAGCTAGCAATGAGAAGAGGATCCTCCTCCCTTCCCAGCTAATTAACATATGATGCAGATTCTGTTAACAAATAACAATATTCATAGAAATTATCAAGCCTGATAATCGGTGCGGTTATGGTTTAACTGAACCGTGAAGTTGGTTAGCCGATACCATAATTTCAAATTATGATAAAACCTTTGATAATCATGAATGTTGAGTTTGTTATGGAGTTAACCTCGTAATCACGATTTGGTCGGTATTGATCCATTGTTAGAATGCCTTAAACATGTATGAGCTTATGTGCATCTGTTTTTTTTTTATTTATTTATTTATTTGTGTTGACCTATTATGTTTAACTATTTTTGTTGCAACCTTGTTTTGGTCCTTTTCTGTTTAGGATTGAATAACTGTTTTATAGATATCTTCTTTAACATTCTAGTCTACAATCAGGATAAACTCAAGTTAATTAGTCTATCTGATTTCGTTTCTGTCGTATCTACTCTTCTCAAATGAGTGAAATGTGTTCTCACTTGCGTGTGAATTAGCTAGCACACATAAATATCTGTGTCGTTGATTTCCGTGCACTGATGGGTTGCTCGCTTTGTTAGGTTGTAACATCCATTATAGGTTAATGAAATTATTTAATTTCTTATTTTGGACCTCTTCCAGCAATTTGATGGATTGGTTCTTGATATAGCATCTTAATTTTTTTAATGGAGAGATAACTTGTTTGAATTAGGACTGCCAGTTCGATTAACCAAAACCATTAATATACTAAATAATTTTAAAATCATTTAGAAATGGAGGATGAGATTGATCCAGAAAATCAAAGAGGATACTAATATAGACTCTTCAGAGTTCAGATAACATAAAAATGAGGATAAACCAAACCATGCACATAAACTCTGAAGATTAAAAAAAAAAAACCATGTACAAACATTGTGGCAAACTGCCTCACATATCCTGAAGATAAACCAAACCATGCACATAAAAAGAGATTCCCATTGGTTTGTTCTACCATACAATCTGGCTATGGCCTATGTGTGCCTCTGTGGGAGGTATTGTATATATCATTTTCTGAAAGATATGTAGAAGCCAAAATCACCACTATCCATATTTCTTTTTTTTTTTAATGTGATTTATTCCATTTTTTAAGAGAAAGTAGAAAAGAATTTTGCAGTTTGGGTGAATGTATGGGGAAAGTTATTGGAGGAATAAGTTTGCGTATACATATATTCTACATATGACGTCAATGATATTATTCAGCATTTGTTCCCCCAAACTTTTTCTCCTTGTGTAATATTGATTAATTTTTATTTGGAAGATCTCAATATGATCTTATATCTAGCATCAAGTTGAGATCTATGACGTACGTCAATGGATTTATTTCACCATCTCTTTTTTTCTTTTCTTTTTTCTTGTATGTTTTTTTTTTTTTTTGCCATAGATAGATAGTAAATAGATAGCGTATTACAAGTTTTTGAAAATTAAAAGCGGTAGTCAACCTAGTGTTGTGCTACCGATGCAAGGGCCGTTTATGCCACTAAATGGGCAGCCCTGTTAGTATGCCTAGAACCATAAATAAACGAATAAACGCAAATGAAGTCTTCCTGCAGCAAAATTCTTGAAGCACCTATCCGCCGAGTATAACCTTCATATCGCCTATAAATCAAGTTTCAATAGGCCAACAGTAGAGTTGATGTGCAAATTACCTGCAAGATGGACACACAAACGACCCGTAAAGGAGCAAAGCAAATTTCAAGTACCAACGGACCTCTACCAGAGATGCTTCACAAGCTCAATGAACTACTCCACCCTGCAAAGGAGCCTTATCGGAAGTGGTACCGAACAGTCGCACGAGAGCGAAAACGACGAGATTGGAGAAAACCGCCGGATGAGGCACCAAACTTTGTTTTCTAAAAGAGTTTGAAATTATAATTGAAACCAAATAATAAACTGATAATAATTCATGAAGAAGATTACGGGAAAATAAAATAAATAATAAATAAATAAGAGATGCAAAGGGAAGAAGATACAGAAGATAATCCTAACCATTACAACTAAAAAAAGATGGACGAAATTAAAAAAAGACAATAAATATTATTTAGACTAACGAGAAGAGGAAAGAAAAAAACAAAGAGAATAAATGTAAAGTAAAAAATATTATTGTTAATCAAAAAGAAACGGTTGAATTACTTACCTGTAACCGCAACCCACTTACCGTATCGGATATGTCATCCGGCAAAACCGTTGCTCGTCCGCTTCCCCAGCCCGCCGCCGACGAGCAGGTGAATTTCATGTTGGCGATGATGTGTCGGCCCGTTGGTGATCATAAGGACGTTCCGCAGCCATGCTCCCATCGCCCAATTGCACCACCACGCCATGAAAGACGATGGAGTTAGCTGTTAGTGTGATTAGAGCGCGAACCGAATCCCATCACCAAGACGGAGAAGAGAATCGGCAGCGAAGCCGCACAAAGCAGAAAGGCCAACAACGGCAACCCGCACAAAAGTGGTTACAGAGCTATGATCTCTTCTCTTGATGTTTTCCGCAACCGTGAGGTAGTTGAGCGGTCGGCCAACGGAGACCTCGCGGCGCTCTCTTGCATCCGGCGGTGGAACTTCCATGGGCTACTATTCGTGAAAACAAATCCACACGCTACATCTTGGAATCCACGGCAGGAGCAGCGGCGGCAAACGCGACGTAGAATTCCCCGGTGGTGAGCCGATCGGGAGGGAGCAGCGCGAGTGCGACCGCGTGCTCGGCAGCGGCGGCGGCAGAATGAGTCCCCCGGCCGCCGGTCATGGAGGTCTGAGTGAAACCGGGGCAGAAACAGTTGACGCTGATCGTCAACTTCCCTTCCGCCCCGCGGAGCCGCGCCGCGCCAGAACCCTGGAGTAGGCGTTGAGCGCGAGCTTGGAGACGGCGTAGTCGGTCCAGTGCGCCGGCCAGCCGGTTCCTTCCCACGTCCCTTCCTTCACATTTAAACAAGATTTGCGAAAATTGGATCTTGGCAATCTAGAAGAGAAAGCGATTCCATAAGAAACATAAAACTTCCAGAAGAGAAAGTGACCGCCAATCCAATCCCCAAACTCCATTCTATTCCATCACTAATTATTGTGTTAATATCTCATTATCATTTTTTTTCTTGTATGTTTTGCTTGCATATTGTATGTTAACAAGTTTGGCCGAAACATGAACCACTGTTGATGCATATAATTAGGATTTGGAAAAGGTGTGGTCTATTTATGATTAGTTTTATTTGCGTTAATTGTGTGTTATGTGAGGTCTATTTGCAAAAGTGTTATCTACTTCGGATCATTTATAAATGAAATTTTGTACAAAGGGATTTTTCCAAAAGTCCACCTTTAAAAAAAGTTCCTAAACTTAACTAAATTTTGAAGAAAGGAAAAATTCAATTTATTAATAAAAAAATCAATCTAACACGTTTGTTGGTTGACTCGTTGTTGAATACATATATATCATTAATCAAGTAAGCAACATTCAATTAGGGATAGTAATGAGTCGGGTCGAGTTGGGTTCTACCAACTCCAAACCCAAGTCTATAGTATACCCGCCAACAAAATTTAAGGTAAAATCCAATGGGTTTGGAAAACTCAAATCCAACTCAACTCGCTAGGTATCTGCGAGTTCATGGATATCCATGGCTTCTGTGGTAAAAAATGCACAACAACAACTCTATATCAAAATAAAAGTCTAACATCAATCTGGCCATACATATTATTCATATAAAAAACACTAATTTAGAAAATATAAGCAAACTACAAATTATCCATACAAATTTTTAACATTAAAGATAAACATCCATGAACAACATGATTAATTGAAATTTCTTCCTCTTTAAGAACTTGAAAATTGATTTAATAAGCGTGTGGGCAGGTATCCGTGGGTTGGGTATCCCTAAACTCAAACCCAACCCAATCTGGTAAAAATTAAAGAGTTTAAATCGAAACCACTCGAAACCCATCAGCATGGGTTTTACCCGACGAAGTTGCTCTGAAAGGAGAGGGGGAGAATATGTTGACCGGGTTGGGTAGGGTACCCGTAGGTTCGGGTTTGGTTGACATCCTTACATTCAACTGATGTTGCAATATCTTGCATGTAATATAAGATATAATTGGCAGTGCATATGTCGTTTATCAAGAAAGTTACATTCAAGTTATACGTCAATGTTGTATGCTAGAAGAGAGTGATATAAAAATCATAACTAACATTCTTTATCATTTTAAAATATAATTTACTTCAAAAATCAATAAAAATTTGGCCGATCAGTCCGAGCTAAAAGCAAGTATACAAATAAAGGCTAGCAATTGGAATATCTCTACAATTCTTACATGATCTTAGAGTTGGGTTTGATTTAGTGTTCATTGGTTGGAATCTTCACAAGCCCCAATATTAGTAGTAAATTTAAATACAGGATATATCGGATATATGTAAATTTCAAATGAATAAATTGTCTTTCTTTAAAAAAATATAAGATTCATAATTAACAACTCAAATTATTGCTAATGAAAGATTCAAGCACATACAATACCGCCTAGAAACTTTACGTAAGGTGAAGACCATCAGCATCTTAACAATGGTTGATAAGAATGTCCTTCCTGCCTGTGCTAGCCATTGGGCGGGCAGGCAAGGTAACCAAACGAATCATTAAATAAATGTGGCTGGCTGCCCTCCTCAACTGTCACTGTAATATAATTAGGAGCTCACATCACTCTATCTGACTCAGATATCCACACGCTCAATCCCATTCTCTCTCTCTCTCTCCTCCTCCTCAAATCATCATGCACAAACATTTGATTTCTCCTCCCCACTTTCAACCAAACATTGTGATCAATTCACCACAAAGAAAAAAAATGTATGGATAATTCTGTAACTCCAGAATTCCTCATGTTAAAGTTTAACCAACCAATCAATGCCTTGTTGATCTCTTTGAAGAAGAAGAAAAAAAGTGAAAACAACTTCTTACTTATAAGAGGAAAGAAGAAGAGAACACGTTTTGTTTCCACTAAATTACTTAAATGTATGTCCATCAAAAAGTTATTCGAATTTTAGGTAATAACACACACCACAAGATGAAGTGAAAAAATATTATACTATCAAGATTCTTCCAACAATACCACAAATCAAGTGATTATGGTGATGGATTCACCTTAATTAATTAGATTTAACGATGAAATTTATTTTTTGTCAATATTTGTTAAACACAGTCTTTTATTATTCATAAAAAAAATGATAGAGGATACATATACTAAGAAAGAGAACATGTAATTTGATTTAAAATGATCGAAATTATTATAGTTCCATTGTCAAACCAGATTAACCAATTGCAAGAACTCATGTTTATAGATACAAGAGTGTTCAGGAAAATACTTTTGATCTGTGTCTATCATTGTCATTTACATACTTGAACTACAAAATTAAAAGATCTTATTATGTCATATGAGCGTGAAGTATATTTATTTTCATCACCGAGTTTGAGTTACCCTAATTCTTATTTATTTCTTCTCCCCTAATAATTATCATGTATTTTGTAAATAAAACTAAATGAAAATAATAAACTAACAGAGACATAAGCAAGAATTTCTTCTTACCAACCCATGCAAATGAAAGATGTGGGTGGGAAAGGAAGGCCACAATTAAAATATTTCTCAAACAAAATTGCATGGCTCCTTTTTCACCCTTTTCATTCCTTCCTCTCCTGCATCCCGATTCCCCCCTCCTCCCCCTTCCCTCTCCACTAGTATAAATAAGAGCTCATTCTTACATTGTCCTTAGGGAGAACACACAAGAACCTTTAACTCTGAAGGCTTTTTGCGGCTCTCCTTCCCTACCTCTTTCCCCATTTCACTCCCCAAAACTTCAACTTGTTACAACCAAGTACCAAAGCCTCAGAAATTACTAGATCAACTTAGAAAAAGAAAGAAAAAAAAAAGTAGCTGAGAGATGGAGAAGCTTAGGTGCAGCAAGTTCCTAGAGACTTCCAAGCCATACTTTGCAATGATCTCATTGCAGTTTGGGTATGCTGGGATGAACATCATTACCAAGGTCTCTCTCAACCATGGCATGAGCCACTATGTCCTTGTGGTCTATCGCCACGCCATTGCCACCGCGGTCATCGCTCCTTTCGCCCTCTTCTTCGAAAGGTTCGTACTACACATACACTAACATTAATACATTCTCATATCCCATAATGAGAAACCAAGAGATGGGACTAATTCCTTGCTCTTCTTTTTGCATTTTCCTCTCTTTCTGTTTATTGCAGGAAAGGGCAGCCAAAGATCACCTTCCCCATCTTCATCCAGATTTTCATCCTCGGCCTTCTTGGGTAAATGTCACACAACAAAATAATTGAACTTGTTTGGTAACAAAAAAAAACAGAGGATAGGGTTTCTAATGAGATTCCTCTGTTTTCATATTTTACAGACCCGTGATAGACCAGAACTTCTACTATGCCGGGCTCAAATACACATCTCCAACTTTCTCCTGTGCAATGAGCAACATGCTCCCCGCCATGACATTTGTCATGGCCGTCATCTGCCGGTAATTATACATGCCGTTAAAATGGTCGCATCATATCAGCAACAATATCGGTTACTCTGTTCTCAAAATCTCCTCTGTTTTGTTGCTGGTGCAGGATGGAAAAGCTGGAAGTGAAGAAAGTGAGGACACAAGCCAAGCTGGTGGGAACACTTGTCACGGTGGCAGGTGCAATGCTGATGACGTTATACAAAGGTCCAATTGTGGAGATGTTCTGGTCCAAAGCCCTGCAGCCAGTTGGATCCGATCATGGCGCCACTGATCAATCCCATGAAAGTAGTGACAAAGATTGGTTCAAGGGTTCCATTCTCCTTATCCTCGCCACCCTCGCCTGGGCCTTTCTCTTTGTCTTGCAAGTACGTACAACTTCTAGTATGTTACTTACTTGGGAAGATGGTGGAATGATCTGAACTGGGTACTGATCAAAATCTGAACTTTTTTGATCTACTGAAAATTTGCAGACCAAAGCATTGAAGACCTACAAGAACCACCAGTTGTCCCTGACTACACTGGTGTGCTTCATGGGGACAGTCCAAGCAATTGCAGTCACCTTTGTGATGGAGCACGATCCATCCGCGTGGAAGATTGGCTTCGACATGAACCTCCTCGCTGCTGCCTATGCTGTATGTTCCCATCTCGAATTTAATCTTTTCGTCGGAGATTCAGTCTATCTGAGACTCTGATGAAATTATTTGTTTATACTTGATCAGGGAATTGTGACGTCGAGCATTTCATACTATGTTCAAGGTCTGGTGATCAAGAAGAAAGGGCCTGTTTTCGCTACGGCTTTCAGCCCCTTGATGATGATCATTGTGGCAATCATGGGATCTTTCATCTTGGCTGAGAAGATATTTCTTGGAGGGTAAGTTATTACCCAACTTCGTATAATTTGTAAAGTTCGTTACTTGAATGGTTTGCTAACAGTTTTTTTTTAAAATCTTATGCAGAATTGTGGGATCGGCGTTGATAGTGGTAGGACTCTACGCAGTGCTGTGGGGTAAGCAGAAGGAGAAAATGAGCATGGACGACGATGAGATTCTTGACCCGGTGAAGGGATCATCGGCGA